TAACTTGTGTTGGCTATAAAATAACAAACACTCACTACAAAATGCAATGCAGAATTGAAATTTTGCTATAATATTGTGTCAACTTTAAAGCGTCATTTGCATCAAAATGTCCGATCACGTAAATTTTACGTTACGTTAATTATAAGCCTACAATGAGAGCTATTGACTTATTTTCAAAGGCGAGCACTATAAACAAATGAGCTTAAGCCCAATGCTGTCACAGTATCGAGAAAGAGAATGAGACTTAGGAAGCTGGTGCCCAAGTCCATTAACAACCCTCATCACAGACCTTCCCAATCCACCCACTGTGAATAGGCTTTGTTCTTCTCTTTCTCCTCTCCCCACCGGAAGACTACTAGTTATAGAGGACTGATCCGATTGTAAACTGTAGGAGAAGTGTAGAGTAGTGATGCATGATATGACAATAGTGGTAAGTCGTGTAGTTAAAGGATCGAGACAAAAAAAGAAAAAGAAAAGCCTGATACTTTTTTCTGCTTAGAGTCCATAACACACAAAAAGGAAAGAGAAGAGAGGGCTCCAAGCATGAGATACTGGGTGCCTCGATCCGAACCAAAAGGGGGACTTTTTCTCCCACACTCCTGGGTGAAACCCTATCCCCTTCGCTGACCCTCCCCTTCCCTCTCACATGATCCGGACTAAAAGCAGGTCACTGTAGAAAAGGGTAGCTCAACCCATACAGTGAAATAATATACTCATGTCTTCATTAAATCCAGGATAAGTTCGTCTCCCCCCTCCATTCCATTTGTTTCCCTCCTTTCTCCTCTCCCCACCGGAAGACAGCTAGTAATAGAGGATGATTCGATTGTTAACTGACAGGATAAGTGTAGAGTGATGCCTGAACCACAGTGTTATGAAAACAGTGGGGAGTTCTATGTCCACAGTGATCTGGCTGATGTCTTTCCAAAGAACTGTTCAGAAACAATAAACCTGTTCTTGATTGATAAGCTCTCACAGTCATTCATGATTAATGTTGACAAACGGTACCTCAATGATTGTAATTATCAAAGTCTTCTAGCATGCTTCAGAAAGCAGAGAGAGTGATCCAATCATGACAAACACGTGACTACGCACATATGTAATAGGATGTGGACTAAATGTTCCCACTCTTGAAATGCTACATATGAAGACATATGCCATTGCTTGATACACAAAATACACATAAAACAATGCATTATTTGGTTACTTCCTGATCGAGCGTTTGTCGAATCAGTAAGTAGAGACAAACCTAAGCTAAAGGAAGAAGCATCAAGCAATGACAGGTATAGGAATGGTACAATATTACTGTGTAGTAGCTAATGTAAAGGGTCACCACTCATCTGTATAAGACAATGTATAAAGGTACAATCTCAAACTCTCAAATTTTGTTTGAAAGAACGGGACTACATGTACTCATGCAAAGGGATGTATGATGCATAGTACAACTATTCAGGAGCCCATGAAAAAGGTTGGGCTCCTGATTTATTACTTAGCTGGTATCCATAATGATAGTACAATCATATTGGTTTTCTTGGACGTTTACTGGGATTGACTGACACAAATTGCACATGGGAGGATGTCACATGGATAAGGGAGCTGTCTGCTGGTTTCTCTGATGAATTTGATGCCGTCCTCATGCAGCTCTCAAATTGCTTTGCAGTCTGGCCCCTGTACAGGACCTTTAAATCATGGCCAGTGATCATGACTGGCCATCATAGTTAGCAGGGCAGATTATATCAGTCTCTCCTAATCAAAAGAAAAGGAATACAAGTTAACATGATCTTATGATAACATTAGGACAAACAACTTGTAAATTTAAAATTGAATTTTATTTTAAAATTGAATATTTAAAATTTAAATTTGAATCTTAAAATTCACAAGACACACAAAGAGCAAGTTCTAAACCAATCTTAATTAGGGAACAAATGTGTATACAGATAGTCAAAAGCAAACGTAAGTACATTATTACGTGAAGTGACATATGCACATGCAGACATAACACAATATTAATCATGCAAGGGGAGGCATAGGGTGGGACATTATAGTCTTGTTGTTATGACATAACAAGATTATAGTACATGTAATGAACCTACCATTTCTAAAATAAGACTCCAACCAGAGGACACAGAATCAGTTCAGGAGCCAAATGAAGCTAGTAGAGCACATCATGTTCCAGACAGCATGTCTCACCTAATGAAAACAAAGGATTATGAAATATTAACAACTAGGAGAAAGAGAGAAACTGACTTCTTTGTAGTATTGTATGGACTGGAGATTGACATATAGTTGAGCCACGTGATTTCCGTATTTTGTTAGAATCCTCACTCTCAGTACCTCTGGCTAGCTTCTTTTGTTGCTCCCCATCCTTCAAATGGACAGTCCCGAATAAAGTGTTGTGTAATGCCACATCGATGGAACTTGTAGCCCCCTTTATTTCTCTTCAGAGTCATCACTAGGCTTCCTTGGAGGCTTCTTTTCCCCTTGGTTTCTCTGCTGTCCCAAGGTTTGTCTCCTTCCACTTTGCCTCTTCAAGCGAGCCTTATACACCAAGTCCTCGAAATTCCCTTCTACAACAGATTGATTAGAGAGAATGCTCCTCTTGCCTAATAATTCTGGTTCTGGAGTCACACGATAGGTTGGGGGATATGCTTTATATAATAACTTCCTCAACTCCTAAGCATATATACTCATCAGCTGACTCATTCGAACTTTAATTGTCTCCCCTGCTGGTCTGTACTGCTGTCAGTCGAACAGGGGTAAATCTTTTAACAAGAGCTGGTTTCAGAGCATCATAGCTCCTCTTCTCAGACTCACTGTAAGACTTGTACTTGTAGAAGGATCTAGCGGGACCCTCCAGCCTCAATCGAAGCTGTGTTAACTTTTTATGGTCATCACATCTACACCATACTCCCATTTCCTCGAGGTGGTCAACCCATTCCTCAAAAGAGTCTTCTTCAGCATCCTCCTTTGCTCCTTTAAAGGGTGGCAGCACTGGTAACTGTTGAGCATCATGAATGGGGGAGACAGATCCTTCTACCGCTCCCTTGGTCCCTGTCTCGGCGAAGGACCCAGAGATCATCTCCAGTGTGTCTGTTCACACCGTTCATTGGTGCCTCCAGTGTTGTATCTATGGTCCATCCAAGGTTTGTCTCTTCCCACTTCGCCTCTTCAAAGCGAGCCTTACACACCAACTCCTCGAAGTTCTGTTCTATCCCAGTCAGCTTCTTATGCAATCCAGACTCAAAATCTTTATATATAGAATAACTTCCTCAACTCCTATAAGCATACTCATCAACTGACTCGTTCGAACCTTGTCTCCTCTAATGAAACATACTGGTCTGTACTGCTGTTAGTCGAACGGGAGTAAATCTTTTAGCAAGAGCTGCTTTCAGAGCATCACAGCTCCTCTTCTCAGACTCAATCACTGCAAGGCTTGTAGCGGGGCCCTCCAGCCTCAATGGAAGCTGTGTTAGCTTTTTATGGTCGTCCCATCTACATTAGACTGCCATTTCCTTGAAGCGGTCAACCCATCCC